AATTTATATAAATTTATTAACGACAAAAAAGTTTTCAAAAACTTCTAAAAAATTATTGCATTTTGAGAGATTAAATTATTATTTATACATTTCAGGAAAATTTTATTATCATTTTTCTTTATTTTATTATTTTTTATAAAATATAAAATTTTTAATTTTTTTTAAAATTGAAAACTTCACTTAAATTCATCCATCTCAATTTTAAAGAATTTAAATTTATAAATATTGCGCGCCGCTCAATCTCATCAATTATCCCTTGGCTTCGTTTTAATTTCATTTGAAACCACTCAAGCCACTCCCCAACATGCCAACTTCATTTGTTTTTTTCCCCAAGTTGTTTCCAAATTTTACCATTAATTCCTCCCTTGTTTTCCCAATAGATGTGTTTTTAAGAGAAAAGAATAATATTCCACACTATAAATGTCGTTAAGAATTTAAAGGTAAATAATACTTTTCTGTTTTATTCCCCCTTATTTTAACAATTTTAAATGGGGGAAGGATTTGAGTAACAAACCCATTTTTATGTTTTTTTTTAATCTGTGCGCAAAAACAATATGAAAAATCAGCCTTTCATCTTATGAATTTTTTATTATAAATAACTTCTAACTATCTTATCAAACTTTAAAAAATCTTAATCGTGTTTGAAAATTAAATAATTTTTTTTATTTTATCCATATTTAGATTATAAAATTTTCATATTTGCATTACATTGTCTCTAATAATTAATAATTTTAAATCATGGTAACATTGTAAAAACTTAATTAATAATCTATTAACTATCAAATGATGAAATAAAATGAGAATCGTCTCTTCTAAAATGTACTTTATAATAATGATTGAAACGGTACTCCCTGCTGTCCAAATTGTAGACCCTCCAATCATATATTACATGCTGTCAATAGTTACTTCTTTGAATATTTCTCATGTCCACATAAATCAATACATGTGCAAATTAAGAAAAATAATTTCAAAAAGTACTGAGTTTTCTATGTTTTGGGATTAGGCTTAGCTGGGAAAAGTGTCTTGCAATTTGGACTGGATATATAATTGTAAGTCACGTCGATCTAGCTATTTAATCGAAATGGAGGAGATGCAGCCAAATAATTTATATTTAAAATAGGAAAAAGTTTGAATTTACTCTTTATTAAATATGCCATCTTTATAAATACTTTTGTTTTAATTACATGCAATCTCTTCCACTGTTCATAGAAAAATTATGCAAGTGTAAAACTGAAAGAAAATAATTAATAATCATCTGTTCATACAATTTACAACAAGGATAATATTTTTAATACAGCTTACACATGCAGGCAGGGGAAGTAATATATATATATATATATATATATATTTTATTTTGACTGAAGGGGGAAATAAATATTGTGAACGGTGGGAGCAACATAAACACGCGGCAAACACGTAAAGGTGTGAACCAAAGCACACACTTGTCCGTAAAGTTTAATTCAATTCAATCCTCGCTTTCCATTTTCACATAAAAGAAAGACAGATTAAGTCCTGTGAATTCCCATGTGATCTTTTATTTATACATATACGCATACGCGCGCATGAAAACCAAAAAATAAAACTAAATTTAATTCACACGGTTTAGTTGGTGTGGGACATGCATTTCATTGAAATTAATCAAACTTGAATGAAGTCATCATAATCGTCTCATGGCGTGAATGCAATGACTATAGTAAATAAAAAATATTGTTTCTTAAAATATTTTCTCCATCTCAAATTATCAACACTTTTAAAAAATATTTATCATTTTAAAATATATACATTAAATTTTATTAAATATACTTATTTTAATATTGTATTTTCTCTCTCTATTTAATACTAATTAGTGTAGATTTAAGATTATTAAATGAATAATATTTTTTAAAATTTATATTTTTGCTTTGAAATAAAGTTGTTAAACGTATTTAATAAAAGTTAATATAGATATTATTTAAAACTGTCTTATAATTTGGGATAAAGGAAGTATTTTATTATTTTTTCAATGTCATTCCTTGTTTACTTGTTATGGTTTGAATTCCTAAACAATATTTTAATATGATTATTAGTTATAAATAAAAAAGTATTTTTAATTTTAACAATTTTAAGGCTATCACTTCTTGATAAACGTGAAATTAATTAATTTGTTTATATCAAGAAATGGAAAGAGAAAATTTTAATTAAAAATGTATTTACTTTATCGTTAATTTTAAGAGTTATATTGAAGTCTCAACGTTTAAACCATCAAACAAAAAAAAAATATCAAGAAGCACCACGAAAAGGTGCAGTGTAAGAACGACGAAGCGTGAATTGTACGGCTTGGGTTGGGAGGGAGAAACATGAAAAAGATTTTTTTTTTTTACTTGTCAACTTTAAATTAATCAAGATAAAAAATTTATAAGCCAATATATAAATGTATATTACATAAAATAAATACATGACGTGCATACTAAATACTTTTAATTCTATTTATAGCGAGAGAAAAAAAATTTAATCTATTTATAAGATATTTATTAATTCTCAAATTCTTTTTTATATTTTACCCTTCTTAAATGCTTTAAATAAAAATATTAGTAATAAAATTTAAGAGTATTTATTAAAAGTAAAAGTAAAAATTTATTAAATTTTAAGATAAAATTAATAAGGTTTAATTTTTTTAATTTTAATAAAATATGATGAAAATAATTTATAAATAAAATGAGAAAAAGTATGCAGGAATATGCCATAAAAATTTGAGTGTCATTAAAAATAATATTATTAACTATTGGGGACCACTAATATGTACTCCCTCCAATCTTATTTATAAGTCATTTTTACTAACTTTATCAATACTAATACAATAAAAATATAAGAAATAAAAATAAGTAAAATTTTAAATATAACCCTCAAGTAAAAGTTAAGTTAATATATAATATTATTTTTTTATCTTCCTCTCTTTTATTTTTAAGGATAATTTAAAATTTTAATTAAAAAAATAATTTATTAACAAATAAGTTATAAAATAAATTAATTATATTTTTAAAGTAACTTATATATACCTGAACCAAGGAGTATACATCACACACAGTACTGGGACAAAGGAAATAAGTGATAAATTAAAGTACCGTCCCTGTAATTTGCATTCCCGGGGCCCAGGTGTTGTTACACAACCGCACACGCACACCTGTCTGTTCCATGATTAAACACGGAATGTTACTGTATTTGTTTTGATACACCCTCATACTTTCATAACTGAGTCATAATTAATGGGTTTTTTAAATTTTGTATTTTTTTTAAATTGTTGTATTATTTAATTTGTGAATGTAAAGAGACCACAAATAAGTTACAAAAAATAAACTTTATATTCACAAACTCGAATAGGTAGATATACCCAGTACCTTGAGAGACATACAAGATGGAGATGAATCTACAGAATATATTCTTAATGTCTACATATCTAAATCTAAACATAACATCAGGAAAAATTAGACTGAATCAATCTACTTACTTATTGTGTGTTTATGACAAACAGGTGAGATATTTAATGCATGAGCCCGATGGCAGATGTTCTGCATTTTGTGGATGGGACATGAAACCGTTCTGTTTCCTTTTCACTGTTCTTTCTTTTTTAAAAAAATCCAGTCACTCATCATCTCAGTAGAAAAAGTCTTTATAGTTTATAATGCATCTGAGTGGGAAAAAGTCTGAGTTTTTAACCACTTGATTAGGGAAGTTCTATATTTAAATAGTATAATATTCAAATCTATATCCTCGTTCTCTCTCAATTTTTATTTATAAAAAAAATTATTACCTTCAACTTATTTTTTTATATAAACAAAATTATATTTTTTAATAAGTATTTATTATAAAATTTTTAAATTATTTTTAATAATTTTATCATTCATGATCATAAGAGACAGTTAATGAAAGCTTGATCAAATCAATTAATAAAGTTATTGTGGTATAAACATTTAATATAGTTAATTAATTTTTTAAAATTGTGTGATATAATTTTTTTCCTACAAATAAAAACGTAGGGAGTATATAAGAAGGTAAACGAATAATCAATAATTAATATTTGATAATATATAAAATTTATAAAGAGTTATACATTTTTATTTGGCTTCGTGAATTTTTTAAATCTTTTTCTCACACATTTTAATATAATTTAAATGTTATAAAAATAACATATTTTTTCAAAAAAATATCATCATCTATAAAAAATATCTAATTACATTTCGTAGCAACACTCACGTAATAACGCACCCAAAGAAAAAAAAAATAGAATTACACGAGTGTTGAAGTTTTTTTTATTAATCATAAATTTAGACTTGCCACTGATCATATCAAAATAATTTAAGCTATTCTAGAAAAACTCACCACACACTTTTAACGCTTTGATTAATTTTAATTTCTAGCTTGTCATTTATCATACATCTATTAGGGTTAACTTCTCCGGTCAAATAATTTGGTAAGCAGATATATAATTATATATATAGGACCAGTTAATTGAAGAATCTAGATCCCATGTCCAACAAGTTTTCTCTACACAGTCAAGGATATTAGTGATTAGTGAAACTACGTAAGCCAGGGATGATTTTCCCAGAACCCGGGTAATTAATCGGTTCAATTACGTTCAAATCTTCAAGACAGAGAATTGGAAAGCCTCAAGAAGAAGCAAATATTTGTCACGACGATGGATATGGTCATACATAGGTTCAGCGCTAAGAAAATTCATCACATAAAGAGGTCCAAATTTGAAAGAAACGGTTTAAATGGGCAAGAAGACCCAAACAAAATTAAATTAAAATTACTTTGAAAATTTCTCAGGACCTCACGCGCTGACCTGGTCTTCGCTTAATATTCCCCGTTCTTCTTCTTCTTCTTTTTTCCCTTGTACCGTGTAAAAGGAAACATAAATGCTTTTTCCGGCCCAAGCCTCCAACAACACCATCACAATCATATATTATATATAGAACCGCTTGAGAAATTTAATACCATGTTCTACATTCAGACCTATATTTTCTGAGTGTTTTCAAATATACCTCCTCGTTCGTTCGTACCTAGCGAATAGCACATACTCAGAGAGAATAACTAAACATGGACGACGACGTTAGTTGTTTGATCCAGAGGGCTTGCGAGTTAGCCAGAGACCTTGAATCGAACCTGCCCAGCCAATCTGCTGATTCAGTGTTGAGCTGCGTTGATGAGATTGTGGAGAAACTTAATGCTGCCAAAGCGAGGCTGTTGGTGCCGCCTCATCGTGAAGATGAAGCTGCAGTGAAGCAAGAAATGATACGGCATCATCATCCTCAAATGGCGCCAGCAACTTCTTCGTTTTTACAAGAATGGCTATCTGTGAGCCGTCAGTTTGTCTCAATGCCGCAGCTTCAAGCTCCGACGAGGACGCCGGCGCCGCCGAGGGGTGCCCTGCAGATCATGACTGACTCGGGTCCGAGAGATGTAGAAGCTTCTGCAGAAGGTGATGTCGAAGCATCTCCTTCTCGACGCCGAAAAAGGTAACTAGTATTAATATTAATTTACGGTCTTTTCTCTTTTCTATCTTGAAATATTAATTATGAATTCCGGTGATGAATATATATATATATGATTGTGACTCATTATGCATCGATCTAATCATTAATATATTCTTTTATGTGAAATGTAGATCGTGATCAGCTATGTTTGTTTATGTGCTGTGTTAATAATTAGTATTAGCTCTATGTATACCCCACAAGAATTGAAAGCAAGAAACAAAAAGCGAGGTAGCGCCTTTGAATTACTGGATGTTCGTTTTGCTCAAAAGTAGAAGATTTTCCTACTTCTTTCTTTGTACATATAACACGAAATGTCTGATCAATGATTTACAATACCAAAAAAAGATTATTACTACAGATATAGTACTATACTACGATCCTCATCCATGTTTGCAATTAATGGTGTTAATAATGCACAGTAGCAGGAAGGATGATGCAGAGAAGACAACAATGATGGTTCCAGCAGTTCAGTTTGGGAACACAGATGTGCCTCCAGAGGATGGCTTCACTTGGAGAAAATATGGCCAAAAAGAGATCCTAGGCTCTAATTACCCCAGGTGATGTGTGTGTGTGTGTGTGTGTGGCGCTTATATACACTAATTCAAATACATACTAAAGTAAATAAAATGAGAAATTAACATTGTTACGTTAATACTTGTTTGTGCAAATGCAGGTGGTTGGTGTGTTAGTTCATTGAGCGTAGACATATGTATCCAAATGGGTCCATGCATGTTTGAGAGTGGTTAAAACTTGAAAACAAAATATTAACTCATACAACTTGACAAATTCAATTCAAAGTATTACATATCTAAGACCTTTCTGCTTTTCACATCTAGTTGTTGACTCATTCCCAGGTAGCAAATATTTGCTCGTTGACGTTATACATGTGCTCCGTGAGCGCGCGCGCGCGTTTAGTACATACATCAATTAATTTTCATCTTTAATTTGCACACATGTACAGTGACCGCCGCTTGGTTTGGCTTTGGCACATCAATTTTAATATTCGTCCTTGACTGTATATATATAGCGACCCACTTGATTACCCAATTGGCTGCAGATGAAGGACAATTTTTTCCCTTCTCTGCTTTTCTTTTCGTTTTTGGCTGAATTGCTTCTATAAGTGTGAAAAACGAAAGCCAAGCTCAGTCACCTCTGGCTAATTCAAATGGCAAGGACTAATTAATTAATTAATTAAATCAACTGATAAGTATAATTATGACTAATGATTATTAATAAGTAATGCAATTTCATTTTGCAGGAGTTACTTCAGGTGCACGCACCAGAAATTATATCAATGCCCAGCGAAGAAACAAGTGCAGCGTCTGGATAATAACCCTAATATGTTTGCAGTAACATATAGAGGTAGCCACACGTGCCACATGTCATCCACAGCTCCATCTTCATCAGTTCCCCCACAACTTATGATCACACAGTCACATGACATCACCCACACTAATAATCCCGGCAGTACTATTGCTTCTTCCCAGTTGTCTCCTTCTTCTACTTCCGTTTCTGGTTGGTTGTCTTCCGTCCACCTCGGCCTCCTTCCGAGTGGTTCAGGCGTGGTTCCAGCCGGTACGGCAGCCGGTGGCAGCGCCGGCCCCTCCTCGTCGAGATTCGGTGCTGATTACCCGGTGGCTGATATGGCTGACGTCATGTTTAACTCAGGTTCTAGCAGTGGTAACAGCATGGAGTCTCTCTTCCCTTCAGCTGAAGAGAAATGGGAAGCAGGCGACAAGAAAAGCTAAGGAGCTTTCATTGATTTTGCAGAGGAAAGGCAAAAATTTTGCTGATTGAATATCTTATGAAGGGCTGCCAAGAATTGCTTCCAATTAAATTGGGAGATTTTGCAACTTAATTATGCCTTCAACTTCAGAAGTTGATCATATATTTCTCACAGACTATTTAGTCTGTTCAATTATATTCCCTTCATTTAATTTTCTTTCAGTTCAAATTCCTAATATCATTAGTTCATATATAGAAGCTGAAACTTAAATGATCTAAATGTGAAAAGAAAATAAAAACCTGATCTATTGTCTCAAGCGACAAATAATAAGGATCTTTTTGTAACTTGTGACGATAGACCGGATTTTTATTTTGAAAAAACTCATTCAGCTTCTTTGGTTGCATACATATGAACAAGGGTATTAGGGTTTAAGATAGGAGGAAAATCAGAAAGAGGGATTAGTAATTGAAAATCTGAGATTTATATATAATCAACTTTTTAAGTTAATAATGAGAGATACATTTTAATTACACAGCTAGGTTAATGATTTGTTTACATTTTGGCTTTTAATCAATTCTCAAACACACGCCCATAGTAGCTATTAGCTTGAATCTGCAGACTGCAGAGTCGTTGATTTGATCCTCATTAATTAGGGAGGACGACCTTGTAGTATTAGCAATTTTTTTCCTTGAATAAATGTCATTCTTGGATACACAGTGACTATATATGCATGTGCATCACTCATTTTGATTCTAGGTGCAATTTGGAGTGTCATTAGTATGCAAGCGAGTATGAAAAAAATGTAAAGGTTAGTCTAGTTAACTTCTCTTAATTTGTTAATTTGGTACATCTTCATGGTTGAATATGTGTCCTGTTGGGTTTGTTATGGCCTTAGTAGGGGCTAAACATCCGCTTTATAGAATACATAGAAATTCAACAACGATTTCCGTTTGTAGGAGACTGGAGGTTTTTTAAGATAATTCTTATCATGTTTTTATAACTATTGTTCACTGATTTTTATGTAGTCTTCCGTTGAAAGAACGACTTTCCTATATGCGGCTGTTGATAAAAATATATCCAGAAGCTTATCTTTAATTTTTCTGAAAATATCTCTAATTCGGTCATCCCCCTTCTGTATCCCCCCCCCCCCAACCCCACTTTCTCTCTTTTTTTCTTCTTTTTTTCCAGTTGGGTCCACTGTACGCAATGGCCAAGTTTAGAGAATTTCATAGAGGAATATTAAATGCGAATTAAATTGATCTGGTCTCACTGTACGTACTACAACGACACAACGTCATTGAATATTGACAAATCATTACACACATACTACTAACCTTCCTTTATGTTTGATTTATAAGGATGGAGACGCTCAGTTATAATTAGTATATAGATGAACTAGGGTAAATTAGACTTTTATACACCACTTCTGGCTACAATTAATCTATGTTTAGCATGACATTAAGCATGGAACTTGAAAGATTGAATTGAGCCCTATTAATTAATATAGTAAAAAGAAGAAGAAGAAGAAGAAGAACAATGGAGACCTATCACTATCTAAGAATCTTCTACAGGACTTGTGTTGGTACCATCGCTTTAACGTGTTGAAGAGGGAGTCATGACCTGTTCTGGAAGGACTTAAGAATAAAAACAGCTTTATATACATATATACATATATATAAATATATATATTTATTCTGAAAACGATCCATTTTGTCACTAAGCAAAGAGCCAAAGACTTTGATCAGATCTAACTGTGTGTTTCCTGCCTGCCTTCAATTCATTAGTTACCCTCTTCATACGTTTTTGTCCTTTGGGCTCCACTGACTTTAGCATCTTCTTTTTTAAGACTTCAGAGACAAAACACACGTACAGTTCATAGTTCATATATGTACCAAGATATAGTTCACGCAAGGCCTCCACTAACCTCTGATATATATATATATATATATATCACAAACGTTAGGTTAGATCAGATTGATTATTTGTGACAGTAGGAACAATGATCAAATGTTATACGTACACCAACAATGTTGGAATATGTACCTGGGTTTTGAGTTACGAAACTAAAGCTCATCATCATCAGGATCATCGAAGGGGAAATAATCGGAGCCAAAATGAACAGAATCATCAACCCCGAAATCCAAAGAGCCACCAGAACATGAATACACAGTATCTGCATTATCATCAGACCCCAAGGGCCCTACTATTGCAGCCTCGGACAGATCTTTGAGATCCGACCATAAACTGGGGTCCAAGCAGCTGTCTGTGAAATCACTCGTCTGTGTCTCCTCCTTAGGATGCTCTTGTTTTATGGGATCGATGACCTTGGCTTCTTCGTTTGGAATCTCTGAGTCTGCGAGAAATGATGATCCCCAGTTACCAGATTCTGTGACCACCAGGGGTGTCTTAGGGATGTCTTTACATGTGTGATATCCGATGTACGTTATTTGATACATATCAGGATTCTCTTGGATTCGCTGCACCTGCTTGACCGCTCTACAACCTTGTACATACTTGCGAGTGCACCTCAAGTAACTCCTGCCATACATCCAATCAAATGCTAATTAATTAATGTTTCATAACACTAGCTTGGGTAGAAGATACTATGCATGAAAAAGCATCGAGTTCTGTTTATGTAAGTGCCAAACAGGTGTCACGCAACAAAATGACGGATGGTTCTTTCTTTTTGTAATGTTTAACGTGCTTTATAGAAAGCGCACGAATCATTATGTTCTGAGAGTTTTCGTTTTCCACATCTGGTGATGCTGACAAATTATTAAAGAAGGTTTACAGTTCTTAAAAAGACTAAAGCAATTAAGGCAGCCAAGGCTCAGATTTTGTTTCTTCAGTGTGTACGCGTATAGAAAATGGACCTATATATTTAACAGTTTCAAAGTTTACAAAATTTAATATTTCTTTATAATCCTATTTATATAAATATGTCACAGCGCAATAATGAACAGTAGTGAAAAGTACATGAACTTAAAAGAAAAAGGAAAGGATTAGATTAAACCAAAGTATGCTGAGCAGGTATTAGGAAAGTTTGGCATGAAACACAACACATATATATGAACTAGACGGAGCTTTTGGAGTCCAAAATTAGAAGGTCTTTTATACATTGATGTGTTTGGGTGTGTGTGTGGACGTACTTTGTTGTTGGAAAAAGAAAGGGAGATTGACATATAAGTATGTGTAAGGAGATAAATTAATTTAAATTAAATTTTAAAGAATGTTTAACTTTCAATTTTATAATTTTTTGTGATGAATTTATAATTTATTTTTTAAAATTTAATATAATTAAAAAATAAATTATAAATTCATCACTGTAAAATTAAAAATTCTTAAAATTTAATACTTTAAAATGTAATTTAAATTAATTGATCCCATTTTATCTGTCATTCTCCAAAAAGAAGGAAAATAATGATTACCTGGGAAATTTGAAATTAAGGATTTCCTTCTGTCCGTACTTTCTCCATGCATAATTATCATCGGCTGAGGAAGAGACTACTGTCCACGCTTGCGCAGCCCTCCTGCAAAAGAAATCAACTTCTTAAGATTCCAATCAAGTTTTTCCCACCAAATATATGTAATGGCAGGTTGTTCACAAAACAGGATTTACAACAAGAAACTCATCATATATTTTATCCAACAATATAATGATCCAATTCAACCGATGCGGTTTTTCACTCCGTCATTGTAAGCACTAAGCAGCATGCATAAGTCAGCGAAACCTCAAAGAATTAAATTTTTTCCCCTTGTCCCACTGGAAAAAAAAAAAAAAAAAGCTTTACCCACAATCATGATGTGTCCGTACAATTCCCAATTCATCCAAATCTCTGGCAATACAAGCGCCGTTGACTGGACAGATAACTAATTAGAGGTCACAATAAAACAAACAGATCAGAAAACACAGAAGAATAGAGTTTGACCTTCTTTTGTAGCAGCCTCTCCGACTCTTGGTGGCCGGCCCCGATCTCCCCCTGCTCTCCCTCGCATCCGGGGACTTGCCGTCAAGGCAATAGTCCGGCGGCGGCGGAGGATCATTCCCACCGGAAACAACCAGATCCTGAGCGACGTGGAGTTCGTCGGAGGAAGAAGAAGTGAGAAGAGAAAGAGAGTGGGTGAAGGATCTAAGAACAATCGCCAAATGTTGATGAGCAGAGAGAGATGCATCAGCCTGGAAAGGCTTCTGAAGCAGAAACTTGAGCTGGGAAGCAGACTGGTAACCCTGGACAAGCTCTCCGATCACATCAATCTTCTCCTTTTTCATCTTCATCTCCGGGGAAACAGTGGCCATATATATCGCGGAAATGGCGGAAAGGAATGTAGGTAGAGGATCTGTGAAGTTGGAAGAAGAAGGTGGGTCTGGTTTGGGGGCGCGATGAGACGAGATGAGATATGAGAATCGAGAGACGATAGGGAAGAGAAGGAAAAGGAAGGAGAGGAACACTTGTTTGGAAATTGTGGGGAAGGAGAGAGTGAGAGCAAACAATTAAATTTTTCCAAATTGCTTTGCTTACAAAGCTTCACATGACGTTGCCCTGCTGATGCACTTCCTGACGCTATGGCGAACCTATTTAATAACGTTATGTAAAACTCACCTCTGCTGCTGCTGGCATTTAATAATAGAAACTTTTTAGGGGAAATGGAATTTGAATAACGACATTAGTGTGTTGATATAGAATTTTAGCTTGTAAATTTTAAAGTTTAAGTCAAATACACAGGTCTAATTTTCTCCCTACAAATATTCTCATTTTTTTTTACTCTCTAATGTACTGCTCCCTTCCATTATTATTTAATTTTTTAGAATAGATTGATGATACTTTTTACATGTTTGGTGAAATATTAATTATATTTTTAATATTATTTTTATTTAAATTTATTAATTATGATAAAGAAATGTTATGTAAATTTAAAATTTTTTATTTAAATGTAGGTAAAATTAGATATTCATTCTTTTTATATAAAGTTAATAAATTAATTACATCTCTTTAATTTTAATAAAATAATTAAAAATATCTTATAATATGGACGTGCGAGAATATATACAAGATTCAAAATATCAAATTACAATCAAAGGTGCTTGCCATTGTTCTGGCAGTAAAGCAACCTCTAATTCCTGTGTGTTGAGGTTCAAGTTTTCTTTCCCCCGCACAAAACCTCAGAGGTTCAAGGTTTGAACTCTACAATACGTTGTGTGTGAGTTTGTAAATATATAAATGATCGCTAAAATTAAAGGCTTCTTTGGTTATATATCTTTTAAAACTAAAAATCCTTTTGAACAATTTTGGAAAACCAAAAGCTCTTTTGGTGATTATTTAATATTAGAAAATTTATTTGCTAAAAAAGTTGACCTTAGTTATTTTCAAATTTTTTTTTGTATTTGAACAATAATTTTCAAGCTTTTTAATGATAAAAGTTAATCTGGGTTTTCATTTTCAAACAACTTTTAGTTTACTAAATTTTTTTAAATTATTAAAAATATTAATTTTGTTATAATAATTAAATTTTACCAAAGTAAATTTCAATAAAAGTACTTTTGATAAAATAACTTTTGGCTAAAAATCAAGTATCACCTCTTATTAAAAACAATTATATCAAAGACACGATGAGACATTAAATATGGATATTTTGTTTGGATTTGTAAATTGTTTTATCATATTGTGACTTGTAAAAAAATTAATCCATTCTGCTGGATCCAACCCTCTTGATAACTTTAATATTTTCAAGCTGACTACATTTTCTTACTGTCATCTTATTTACGGTTTATATTGAGATGTTTATAATTTCTGCATGTTGATAACCTGTTAGTTCACTTTTGCATAGGTAATTTTTTTTAGATTTTATATGCACTGACAACTTCTTACATATAAACTCCAGTTGATGCATGAATATTTTTCTAAATTGTCAATCTTGGTAATAAAATATTATACTATGATAGCTTTGTGTAATCTGATCTTTAAACAAAATAAAACAAGTCTTGCCTAAAATTATTTATTTTATACAACTATATATTATTAATATCTTCCCAACGTGTAGTCGATGCTTGTAAATTAGAGAAAGTTTGTTGTTGTTTGGAGTGATTAAGAAACACCGTAAAATTCAAAAATTTACAAAGCTTCTGAACGTTTAATTTGTTAGTAAAATTTTTTTTAAGAAAATGAATTTAGTTTTACCCAAATGATGCTTGTTTTACATTTTATAAAATATACATCAAATATTTAATTTAATAACGGAAACCAAAAATTGTTTACATCAATAATAATTTCAATTTGTAAAATTGACAGCTATTTTCTTAACGGAATGAATACACAAAATTTTAATGTCTCTCTGTCTCTTCCTGGGCCTGATTATCTTTCTAGCTAGATCACTGTTAACGAGCAGTTCGAGTAATTGATTAAATTTATTCCTGGATGCAATAAAAGAAATTTGATTAACTGCATTATAATATGTTGTGATTAATTTTAACCCTGCGATGCACGCGGGACTACTAATCTCAATGATAATTATATTTAAATTGTGCTCATTAAGTCGACTAATTTATTTATTGTTCTATGCTCAAAGCATCATTCATAGGAAAAAAATTAGATAGCATTTAAATTTCAGAATTAAAATCCATATATTTAAATTATTTTATTTGGATAGTATAAAAAGTCAAATCCAAAGGCAGTAAAAAGAGAGGGATGAAAGTTGAAAATGAAAAATGAAAATGAAAAAATAAAAAGATAATTAAAATGGCTGGCATTTCAAATAAACGCCCGTGCATAATATTATATTTTGTGATAGTTAAGTTTATATTTTCACGATACTATATGAAGTGTGATATGAATAAATATAGTAGTAAAAGATAACTTTTGCGACCAGTGAAAACATAGTTGTAATAAAAATTAGGAAATTATGGCATTTGTTACCTTTACTAATAATGAATTTTTATGAATCCAAATTTCCTACATTCAAAAGCAACATTATCTAATTCTTATATATCAATTAAACTACCTTAACCAATTCATGTCTTGAGCCTACTTTTATTATATTTTTCCAGTTATACCTTACTTAATGTCCACTTTATTTGCTTACATTTAATGGAGAAAAGGCAGCACTTACAACAAATTATTTCATATATTTGCAGGGGGCATATTGAAAAAAAATATTAAATACTTCTGAAATTTTTATAATTATAAACAAATTACCTTCTAAAATTTTGTCTTATATATGGAAATGGTGTGCGTAACATAAACAATAATGTATAGTTTGTCAATATGCAATACTCAGACTAACTGTATATGCATGTGTAACAATTCTTTAAAAGGGTATGTTAAATTGAAAATAAACACTTTTTTAATATAAAAATAAAATAATATTTCTTTTGTCCTGATTTATAAAACTTTTTAAAACAAAATCACACATGTCAATAGATTTTATTAACTATATTTTATAATCTTACTTTTTCAAAAAAAATATAAATTTTAAAAAATTTCATTCATTTAATACTATATTTACATAAGAATATTGAAAAGAGGATATATGTAAAAGGTAACATTAAAAAATGTCATTAATAAAATTATATTTTTGTTAAAATATTTATATTTTTAAGCACTAAATCTTTTTTAAAATATCTTATAATTTAAAATTGAGGGAGTACTTAATATTCTTTCACACCTTATTTTGGATGTTGTGATTGTTCGACTTGCAATAGTAACGACATCAATAACAATTTTAGTTAATATTGAGAGTGTTTGCATGGGTGATAAATATAGATGACGGGTAAGTAAAAATAAGGAAAGAGAGAAATATACGCATTAAAACTTATCATTATTCGATTTCTTGACCTCTTCTGTTGAGTTTTCTTGAAATTTTCAAGAGAATTTTTTTTTTTTAGTTGAACGTAACCAAACCAATTACAATTTCTGCACATTTTGCATTGAACTCACCTACAGCTGGCTGTTTATTGGGGTTTTTTTTATCTTACCTTTTAACTAAACATTTAAAATGTGTTTAGGTGAATGAGAATTTAAATTTAAATTAAATTCAAATTCAAATCAAACCCACTATTTGAATCATAATCTAAATTCATGTTTTATCACAACTTCTTTATAATTTTAAAGTTGTTCTAAATCCAATTTATTCAAAATTTTACTTATTTCAATGTTATTGTTTTTTTTTTTTCACATTTTCACCATTCACGCCTCTATTAGTCTCTCGACTCCTCTTATTTTTCATTGTTACCTTTAGTTAATTAATTAAAAAATAGAGTTAGGCTCATCAGTTTTTAATCTTTCATTTTTTTTTAACATTGGCTCATTTGTCTCTCTCTTTTTTTTACCTCTAAAATTTTTTATACATTTTGAATAAAAAATTTAAAATATATGAATTTTAAATACAAAATTTAAAATTTAAAATTTAAATTTAAATTCATCAATTCAAACACTCCTTTAAAATTTTATACAGCTGACAACCTAGAATTAATGCAAACAATAAGATAAAGGTTTACTAAGGATGTCCTTGATTAGCTAATCAATTCTATAAACACTTGATTGTTTCATATTGTAAGTTTATAACAATGGTGTTGATTACGCTCAAACTAATACCTCGCAAGCTAAAAGTGTATCAAAGATGGACTATTAACCAATACGACATTTAAAATTTATAACAAGTCAACTAAAATGTAAGAATAGCATTTTAATTTTATATGACACATAAAGGATAAATTTAAAGACAATAACCAGCTACACTGCGAGTTTATATCACAAAATTTCGTATAAGTTTTTATATTGCACTCCTTCAATTTAAAAATATAAAATATTTTTTAAAAGATTATATATTCAAAAAATATAAAATATTTTTAATATTTTAAAATATAATTATTAATTTTTTTAAAGTGCTCCTAATAAATAAAATATTCTATTAAATAAAAATAAATATAAAAATAAATATTTAATTAAAAATATTTTATAATTTTTTAATAAAAGATTATAAATAATATATGGTGGCGGCCGTGGTAGTGTGAAAAGCAATAATTATAGTTGAGCTAGTGGACAAATCATGTCAAATCGTGCCATAGCACAATAATCGTTGCACTTTTTCTTGAGAATCCTATCCCGACAGTCATTGCATTATTCCAGCTCATCCAAACCTAACGATGAACTAGTGTCTTGTATAGTTTAACATTCTAAAAGCCGCGTTAATTGAATTAATCTACTACATCAACACTGAATTATAAGAAAATTTTAAAGGTATTTTAATATCTTAAAATATAAAATAATTTGATAAAAATAAATTTTATTAATGTTTTTTTTAACATTATCTCTTAAGAGAAGAAAAAAATTAAAATAATTATGGTGTCCATTGAGTGCATAAATTTAAAGTAATATTAAATGAAAAATATTTTTTAATGTTTATATTTTTATTTTATAAAAATAAAATTTCTAAAGTGCAACTATTGAACCTAATGGTACCCGTTATCTCAATTTACATTATATTACATTT